TGGTTTGACGTCTCTGAAATCTGATCAAAGGACGGCTACTAACATCATTTTGTAGCCACATTGTTACTTGGACTTTTAAAACGCAACGTCAAGGGGAAACAAAAACGAAATTGTTTATCCGATCATCCGTGCTATTAATCACACGAGAAAGAGCCTCCTTCGATGGTTAATTTAGGATCAACGTGTGATCAACCAAAAGACACAGATGCGTTCTTTTTTCACAAGACTATGTGTTCAAACAAATTTGAATTTGAAAACCGAGCGTGAAAAACCGTTCATGACACAAAAACCTAACCATAAACATACAATCGGTATTTCGATCTCTTTTCAGTTTTGATCCTACTTCAGAAGTTTTCCGGTAAATTGTTCCCTACCAATTAACTTAGAAGAAAGAAAGATAGAAAGAAGAAATTCGACCATTTTCAATTCACCAGCACCGTAAAAGCATAAGAAACGGCGAAATATCTATACCCATAGATATCGCTCGATATGAGTTAGATCCTTACTCGAGTCCTTGTTTTTTTTTTTGGTTTTTTTTTTAAAATCAGACATATTATTATTGTGAAAAAATAATTTCTCTGGTACATGTTTTTTTAAGAGGGGCCATAATTATTGAACTAAAAAATGGCTAAAACGAAAGTCATTTAAATGAGAATAAAAAACAATCGGTTATTATGGGAAAATGTCTCTTGAAAAGTGATTAAAAAGACATTAAATTGTCCTGGGGGGTTCAACCCTTTCAGCATGAAAAGAAAAGCAATTAGAGGAAACATTTCATCGCGGAGATAAAACAACGTTCGAGGAATATCCTACTGGGTCAGTAAATATATTTCCGTAGATTTTGAGTCGAGAACTGAGCAATCTGAAAGATCAATGCTAGTGTTGCTGAATTCGAGGAGGTATTAAAAAGAGCTCTTTGTCCAGCTAAAAAAACTTCGGTTTCGGCACAGAAGCCACTTGAGAATGACAGTTTACCCTTTTATAGATGATATCTCTTTCTCTGTTAATAATGAAGTCTAGACGCTTTTCCCAAACAAGATATATGATTGTCAGATGTCTATTGAAACTCGGACTTTGCACGAAAGAAAAATTAAGGCGTTGGAGGGCCCATCTAACGGGAAATGGCCACGTGAATAACTAAAATGGAAAAACCTAAACAGCGCGCCTCTGACTTAACGGTTCGGCCACAATCACCAGCTACCAAGCTCATTTCTATTTGAAAACATACTTCGTATTCGGTATTTTCTTTGCTGAAGAGTGATAGTGCAGGGCGAAATTATAGCTAAATTATCGAGAACGCGGCATGAGCATAAATTCCGACAAGAACTCTCTATCTTGGACCTTTTCAATATGTTCCCGCTAAAACTATTACAAAATCGTTCTCTAGTTAGATCTTAGCTTGGCTGGCAGATGCATTTCGTCTTACAACATGAGTAGGATTGACGGTTAATCTTGGTGGCTGTTCTGGTTTCTGCTACTAGCCTCGATGGTGTTTAGACCTCTGATCCGTATTGTCCTCGGCGTCTTTATGATAGCATTTCACATATTTCCAAAAAGTACCCGACAGGCAGCTGCCTAGAGGAGTCCTGGGAGCGCAATTTATTAGTCATTATGACATCACAATTGTCACCAACACTGACAGCGAATTACACGTCACTAAGCAATTGTAGTTACTGCCCCAGATTTTCAAGTATTTCGAGAAATTCTAAGAAGCGTGTAGCATTCTTTTCGGTGTCCCAATGTGCGGCTCATTGTTGTCGAAATTCAAGAAGTCAAGAAAAAGGATTAAATCTTCCTCTGACACGTATTTCCAAGACCGAAGACGAGAAACTAATTTCGATGACCACCCGAAGGTGGTGCAGATGCGTGGTCTTATTAAGAAAATGCTCGAGGAACATGAAAAAACCAAGATCAAAGCTCCCAGAAGAACAAGCAAACGGAATGAGAAGACACGATCAAAATCTAAAACTAAGGAGACGACTGCGAAAAAAGAAACTGCTGTCCTAACAGCAGAATTCGAAACTGGAAGTTCACACGCATGTCTACCATTCTCACAGGTGGTTAAGACTTCTAGAGACATCACAAACTGTACCGACAACTGCCATGATTCAAAGGTCGAGACAGGAGCAAAAAAGGACCCGCACGCAATGGAGATGAGACGGTCTCCGGCTGAAGGATACCGCTTGCTACCGATTATCCATCGCTCAACAATCACCATTCAGAAGGTGAAGGAAATGGCTAAGGAAATGGCTAGGGAAGAGGAGCGACTTAAAAAACGGAAGACCAAAAAGGTGGCTAAAAGGAAGTCAACTGGAGAAGCGAAAAATAAGGAAAAGCCTGCTTCAAAAATCAACCCAAGAACGAAGTCGTGTAGCCAAAAAATGACCAAACAAATGTTGTGTACACAAAAGCCAGTCATGCAAAAATGTACCCACGAAAGCCTAGCTAAGGAAATGCTACATAGAAAGCAGCTTATTGGTAAGCGGTTGACCAAAGAAAAGTCACATACAGAAGGGCTACAGGTACAAACATTCGAGAAAGAAAAGAAATGTGACAAAACGGTGGTTTATAATAGGTTGCTGGTTGGAGAAAAGTCTTCATCGAGCAAGTCATCGCCCACCTCTAACAAAATGGCGTCGAAACCCCTAAATTTCGCTTACACGATCCTTCTTGGCAGAACTAAAAGCGCCATCGCTTTTAAAGTTCTCACTGATGGCAAACGTAAGGAAACAGTTCTGCTTTCAGCCAGGGTACCAAAACAACTCCGTAAGCTTGACAATCCGCCCAAGCTTACTGCTGAAATGATGGCTGAAAAGCAACTGGCCGTTCAAGAGAAAAGACTTAGAGAACTGGAGCGAGTGCGAAACTGCGCTCGCGCTTGTGCGCAGCCCGTTAAGAGAAACACCGCCGTCCACTAATTAACATTTAATTACGCAGTATGGACGAAAAGTAGCGTTGCGCGATCAAAAGATTGGCAGTGCAGGAAAACCATCAGAGGCTCTGCATCAAGCTTTAAAAAGATAAAACCGAGCAACACAACGCAAGATAAGATCGTCATTCGAAGATAACAACAATGTGTGATGTCAAACAGCTTGCTTATCATGAACCATTACGACAGAAAACAACTCATTCATTCCCTGAATTTGTTTCTTTGCTTCCTTGTTCATGAGGTTTAAAGAATTTAAGAAAATATTTAGAAGGTTCTCTTCCCTCTAATGAACTCAGTTCACCTTATTAAGTGTAAATATGATGGATATACACCGTAAGTTACGAACTTTAATCCACATGGTGCAAATATTCCTCTTACAGCCCAATACGCGCTGTAATCTGTGAACACAACTTTCAATCGATCAATCGTCTCTTTTTTATTGGAAAGCTGTTGCTGACTCCTCCAATATCCTAGCGTTTAAGGTGACCTTAATAGCTACATACCTTAGAGAGGTTTCAAAGAGGGGGCTATAAAAACAGATTTTTTTACTGATTTTTGCTTATTTGGCATCTACATTGAAATTAACTTTTCACGTGTTTACAAAGCCTCGCCTAGAAGATTAATTAAAGACAGTCATACACAGTTTGAGGTTTGCATAATCTGCGAGAATTCTCTTACCTCCCCGAGCGTTGGAATGAGGTAATGTAAAGCGGGGAAACGTCTTCTATTGTATTTATAACATATTTCTCAAAAATACGCGCGAACACAAAGCATCACAATCGTGTTTACAAAATCTCGTCTATACGTATTTATCGATAATAAGGGCGACGATTTTCAAGCCCAAGAAGATTTCGGGTCATTTTGAGAATCGCACACCTGGTCAGTGTAATCAGAACGAACAAACAACTTTCAGCAGGAATGATCAACGTCTTCATGACAAACAGATGAACGGAACAGAACACAACCATGGTGACGAACCAAAACCACGTCATCTTGATCCTCCCAGCTAATTGAATCGCAATAATATTAACCAAATTGTTTCGAACTATACATTTAAAAGTCGACTGACTGACAAAGCTAACTAGAAGACCTCTTAAGTGCGATCGTTCTCACTCTCAGCAACTTGGACGATTCTTTTCATCACTACCCCAGCAAAGCGATCACACCGTATTAACCCTTTTAGGAAAATTTCCAGTCGAGTGTTGAAAGTAATCTGGTATTACTCTGAATAAAGGGGGTAATATAAATTTCTACCGAAACTGTGGTGCTGCGTCGGTGGGAGAGTATAGCAGGGTACTTTAGAATTATCAACTGAAATGATAACGTATTACTTTAGTTTTGCAGCACTTCGCTGTGTCTTTGGTCCAGAAACCTCGCAACATTTTCACAACCAATCAGTTCAAAAATAAAAATAGTCGCGACTTGGTCACTGAAGATCTCCCGCGCTTCAAGCAGTTTGCGTGTTTTCCCTCTGAAATCTCAATCGACCCGTTGTGATAATTTTTATCTCTTCTGATTGGCTGTTTTGGTTGCATTCGTTTTGGTTTTCAGAGTTCAGGCGAGTTTGTCAGCTGAACCTTCATGATAATGCTGTTCCACGATATCTCCACAGTGGCGACGATTCATAAAATCACGAAACTGTTGGGGGGGTCCTCCACGATAACCCTCCAAACTAATTAAGGTGGACATGACCTTAACACATCACAGATCATTTCGAACTCATTAAAAACGTCGACCAAGCACCACAATAAAGCGTTTTAGGTTTGAGCCTCAATGACAATAGGGCTGCTACTTGCGTCGGCGCAGATCTGTCCACTCGGTCTCCGTGTCCGAGTTGGCCATAGTAGCCTGGAACATAACAAATTTACGTCACTACTGCGGTTACGTGGTGCAGGTCGACGACAGTTGAATCAGTCGTGTGAGGTAAGAGCCATCAGTTGATCGAAACGTTTGAGCAACTTTATAAAAATCTTGTGCAAATGTTGATCAAAATCACTCAAAGGTCTACTCTCCCTGTTTCTACACATTAATTATCGTTTAGGACTGAGGACATTTAATAAATTAAAGCAAGTATTTCAATATTGAGGGAAAAGGGGGTAAGTTTCTACAGAAACTGTGGTGCTGCATCGGTGGGAGAGTATAACAGGGTAATTTAGTGTTATCAACTGAGTTGAAAACGTAAATTGGCCTTCGTCAGAGTGATTGGCCATAGGGCTAACGCTCGAAACTTCAGCCTTTAAACTCTTCACGGAGGCCAATTTACGTTTTCAATTTAGTTGATAACACTAAATTACCTTGCTAATTCATTTAAGGATCGAGTTCCTTTTAAATACAAGGGAAATTCGAATAGCAAAGTGGGTCATTCAATCTACCTATCCTTTGATAGATTGATAGACGCATAAAAAAAAGAATTTCATTGATTTCATTTTCAAAACACAGAGAGTTGTGTCCATGAAATGAATATTCACTGTTCCTAATGCATAACAGAAGCAAGGATAGGAAAAATTCTTCCCATTTTTCCTGGGAGGAAATTTGAAGGTAAAGGATGGCCACTGGTTTTGACTTCATATTGGTTTAAGTTATAGTTTTCTCTCCAAGAAGTCTTGCAGGTCTCTAACAGAGAACTACATTAATATGAGCCATGTTTCATTTTTTCTGCATTTCCTGAGCATATTTAGGTTGAACACAATATCTATTTAGACAGTAAAAAAATGGTGCTTTTTTAACAAATGTTACATGCTTGTTAAAAATAATTTTACATAAACAGAAAAATTCATTCAAACTTACCCCAACCCCATGTCCAGACACTCCCATCTCCTGTTAGCAAAAAAATTAAATCAAGATTAGTCACACTAACTAATTGACAGTGAGGTAAATGGGTCAGTTCTCCTCTTTTTTTTATCTCCTACAAACCACTAAGCTTCTCTTTAAAATGTTGGTACAAAAAAGTTATGCGAGTCAGTCCTGATTATTTTTAAGGTGGATGTCTTATCCACCGGATAAAATAAGCAACACATAAATTGTTCATAAACACTCCTTTATTTATCCCAATTTATCCCTGGACAGTGTTAATTGTCACCACCATTGAAACAACAATTAACAAAAGAGTGACTTCCCAAATGTTCCCTCATTTCAACCTAAAACAAAACAAAAGTTGAACAACAGCAGCAAACCACACTGCCAAGTTAGGGGCTGCAGGGAGGACTAATTGACAGATATAAAACAGGAAAAACTGTCGAAAAACCATCTACATGTCAGCTCTTCAACTGGATCTAGTAGGTCATGATTTACTGTATCCTGTGTTTGATCAACAAATTCTAATAGGTACAAATGCCTATTTGCATATCAGTTGGAGATGGTGATACCC